TTATTAGCATCAGTATAAGGGATTTGGGATTTCAGGCGCAGGGATTTAATTAGTGATTTATCGCCAACACTTTTTTTTCCCAGCTTGCGTGTTGAATAGCCTCCGCCCTGGCGGGGGCAAGAAGAGGCGTATCACGCGACGTCTAATACAGATGACTTGCATCCTTCTGGTGCAGGCGGATAAGGGTCAGAGTTGCCCATCCTGAACCTTGAGGTGGATTTTGCTAATGATAACTTATTAATTAGATTTCGCCTAAAACGCGGACCGTCTTAATCGGCAGTAAGAATAGACCCGCACGAGATCAATCACAGCAATTATAACACACACACAACCTAACTACAACATTATGTTTACATTCTTACGACTAGATAACTTAATATGTAACTTAAGTAACTGACATAACTAAAACTAAATAACTTAAAATGTTATTACGTCGTGATTTTGCTGGGATATAGTATATATAGAACACACATTAAATTATATATATATATATATATATATATATATATATATATATATATATATATATATATATATATATATATATAGCAAAAATGGAAAGTTGGACTCCAGAAGTTAGTTTTATATTCAATTAGCTCAAATGTCAAACTAATAATCTGAAAACTAAAGAGCCTAGCTAACCAAGCAATCCTAGAACCTCTCTTAAACGTAATATGACGCATGCGTGTTCTATAATAGCCCCGGGAATGTTTCAGTTTGATTTCTGGCTTTTTCGTGCCATCAACACGGACACTTCTGAAGGTGCACGCTGCTGTAGCGGCTCAACTCTGGTCTGACCAAATGGTTGTCACTTCAGGAAGGAAGGATTCTCACACCGGTATCACCTGTGATGAGCTATCTGAACGCCAGGTAAAAATAAACGCGCGATATTGGATGGTGTACCCGGCGGTCCCCGGGTCTCTCTACCCCCACTTCCCCCGTCTCTTCCCTCTCCCCTCCCCCTTCTTCCCCCTTCAATTAGAACAAGGCATATAACGAGCATTTCTTTTTTATTTACATAGATACAAGCGCATTTATACAGCTGCCCTGTATTTGTGTTGTATATATTTGATATTCATGTTGTATATATTTGATAAATATATTCATATTTAACCCTTCCCATGAAGGGTTAAACAGTGTCACGAGTTAATAAAGTAATTGCAAAGCTTCAGGTACCTCATGCCAATGGGTCTGAATTGTCTGATAATGGGGTCTGGATCCAATCGTTGGGTCAATGTGCACACGCAAGTCTTACATACGAATGTCTTGAAGTATCTGTTGAGCTTGTTGGGGAATAAAGGTTCAGGCTATTGTAGGGGGTCTGGAAGATTTCCAGTTTTATTGTGTAATATTGATGCTGCTTTTAAGGGAATGGCCGGGCTGGCTTTTCTCCTAACTTGACACTCTGGGCAAGGCACTTCCTGCCGTCAGTTCTACAGGATAACTTAGCATGTAACTTCACAACTTTGAGAAGCACTACACATTTAAAGTTACCAGTGATTATATTATTCAGCTAAATTATTGTTTTTCTGAAACTGAAAAAAATTAATAGAATTCACAGGAATTGAGCATTTTGAAGCCTCTCGCGTTGTATGTGACAAACATTATTGAATGAGATTTGTGTTGGATCTTCTTGAGGTTATCTTGAGATGATTTCGGGGCTTTAGTGTCCCCGCGGCCCGGTCCTCGACCAGGCCTCCACCCCCAGGAAGCAGCCCGTGACAGCTGACTAACTCCCAGGTACCTATTTACTGCTAGGTAACAGGGGCATTCAGGGTGAAAGAAACTTTGCCCATTTGTTTCTGCCTCGTGCGGGAATCGAACCCGCGCCACAGAATTACGAGTCCTGCGCGCTATCCACCAGGCTACGAGGCCCCCAAAAAAATCTTACACAGAAGGTTATCTTCTTGAGTATCTTGAGATGATTTCGGGGCTTTTCGTGTCCCTGCGGCCCGGTCCTCGACCAGACCTCCACCCCCAGGAAGCAGCCCGTGACAGCTGACTAACACCCAGGTACCTATTTTACTGCTAGGTAACAGGGGCATAGGGTGAAAGAAACTCTGCCCATTGTTTCTCGCCGGCGCCTGGGATCGAACCCAGGACCACAGGATCACAAGTCCAGCGTGCTGTCCGCTCGGCCGACCGGCTCCCTGGAGGTTGAAGCATTTAAACATGTTAGCGTATATGGAGTGGCTTGGCTGACAGCTCCGCCCGCCTCCTTGGTGACATCAAGGCGGTGAAGACTTTGTATCGTAGACTGTGATCGTCGAGCAAATTGTTGCTCCGTCGTCTTGTTAATCTTGGAGGTGTCGTGTGTCGTCGTCGTTTCCCCCCCCCTCTCTCCCTCTCCCTCTCTCCCTCTCCCTCTCTCCCTCTCCCTCTCTCCCTCTCCCTCTCTCCCTCTCTCTCTCTCCTCCACACCTAATGGACTGTGGCTGTCCTTGGCTGGGTAACCCGTGGACCTCCCCCTAGCCCCGCTGGACCTGCCCCTAGCCCCGCTGGACCTCCCTCTAGCCCCGCTGGACCTGCCCCTAGCCCCGCTGGACCTCCCCCTAGCCCCGCTGGACCTCCCCCTAGCCCTGCTGGACCTCCCTCTAGCCCCGCTGGACCTACCTCCTAGCCCCGCTGGACCTCCCCCTAGCCCCGCTGGACCTGCCCCTAGCCCCGCTGGACCTCCCCCTAGCCCCGCTGGACCTCCCCCTAGCCCCGCTGGACCTCCCCCTAGCCCCGCTGGACCTCCCCCTAGCCCCGCTGGACCTCCCTCTAGCCCCGCTGGACCTCCCTCTAGCCCCGCTGGACCTACCTCCTAGCCCCGCTGGACCTCCCCCTAGCCCCGCTGGACCACCCCCTAGCCCCGCTGGACCACCCCCTAGCCCCGCTGGACCTACCCCTAGCCCCGCTGGACCACCCCTAGCCCCGCTGGACCTCCCCCCTAGCCCCGCTGGACCTCTCCCTAGCCCCGCTGGACCACCCCCTAGCCCCGCTGAACCACCCCCTAGCCCCGCTGGACCCCCCCCCCTAGCCCCGCTGGACCTCCCCCTAGCCCCGCTGGACCTACCCCTAGCCCCGCTGGACCTACCCCTAGCCCCACTGGACCTACCCCTAGCCCCGCTGGACCTACCCCTAGCCCCGCTGGACCTACCCCTAGCCCCGCTGGACCTACCCCTAGCCCCGCTGGACCTCCCCCTAGCCCCGCTGGACCTCCCCCTAGCCAGGGTGGACCTCCCCCCTAGCCCCGCTGGACCTCCCCCCTAGCCCCGCTGGACCTGCCCCTAGCCCCGCTGGACCTCCCCTAGCATCCCTGGACCTCCCCTAGCCTCCCTGGACCTCCCCTAGCCCCGCTGGACCTGCCCCCTAGCCCCGCTGGACCTGCCCCCTAGCCCCGCTGGACCTGCCCCCTTGCCCCGCTGGACCTCCCCCTAGCCCCGCTGGATCACCCCCTAGCTCCGCTGGACCTGCCCCTAGCCCCGCTGGACCTCCCCTAGCCCCGCTGGACCTGCCCCTAGCCCCGCTGGACCTGCCCCCTAGCCCCGCTGGACCTTCCCTAGCCCCGCTGGACCACCCCCTAGCCCCGCTGGACCTTCCCTAGCCCCGCTGGACCACCCCCTAGCCCCGCTGGACCTCCCCCTAGCCCCGCTGGACCTCCCCCTAGCCCCGCTGGACCTCCCCCTAGCCCCGCTGGACCTCCCCCTAGCCCCGCTGGACCTCCCCCTAGCCCCGCTGGACCTCCCCCTAGCCCCGCTATTTATTAGCCTAGGTTAAAACTCGTACGATTAATAACCACAATTAATACAATTTTCTCGTCCCTCTTCTCTGCCTTTAACAAGCTTCTCCTCTAACAATCACTAGTGTCTTTGGGAATATTGCCTTGAGTGAGTTTAAGGCCGGTCAGCCGAGCGGACAGCACGCTGGACTTGTGATCCTGTGGTCCTGGGTTCGATCCAAGGCGCCGGCGAGAAACAATGGGCAGAGTTTCGTTCACCCTATGCCCCTGTTACCTAGCAGTAAAATAGGTACCTGGGTGTTAGTCAGCTGTCACGGGCTGCTTCCTGGGGGTGGAGGCCTACCTACCTTGAGGTAGGTAGGCCTCGACGAGGACACGAGGACCACGAGGCCTGGTCGAGGACCGGGCCGCGGGGACACTAAAAAGCCCCGAAATCATCTCAAGATAACCTCAAGATCTCAAGAAGGCTCATTACCCCTGGTGACACCACAACCAAATGGAAATATTGTATATTAAATATTTCTGAACAATATTTGTTATTGTAACTTGTGTAACGTTATGCACTTCACGGAGAGGCAGACTCCGTTATCTTGTCGGTTTCACTTGATAATGGTGTTAACGGGTTGCTAGTACACAAACTCGTTAGCGATTATTTTATTATCCATACCTTATACACCGTAAATTTGGGGAGATGAAAATGTATATATGCTGGTTAGCATTGTAAATGTGTGGCCACGTCTGTGGTAGAACAATAATAATAAAAAAAACACCGTAAATGATGTTAAAGCCTAACGTTATAACAATATATAAATATACCTGAAAAGCTACACATGTTGTTTATTTTTATTTACGATTGGCACAAGACCTACATTTTTACTACCGGTAATGCAAGATACGAGAATCTTATAACTGAAGTTACAAGGTTAAGTTACTCCCGTGTTCTTAAGTGACAAGTTCGTTATCAAGTTACAAGATGAAGTTACACTTGTCCATGACAGGTATTACTCCTAAATCCACGACCACTTGTGAAATCCACGACCACTTGTGAAATCCACGACCACTTGTGAAATCCACGACCACTTGTGAAATCCACCACCACTTGTGAAATCCACGACCACTTGTGAAATCCACGACCACTTGTGAAATCCACGACCACTTGTGAAATCCACGACCACTTGTGAAATCCACGACCACTTGTGAAATCCACGACCTCATTTCTCGTTTACTTTGCACAGAAGCAAAGGATAGATATGGTTCTGATTCACGCTTTAACCTCATGCAAAGGTCAAGTTCTTACCTGTGATAAAGGGGAGAAAATCACAACAGCTAATTAACTCAATCAATTTCTTAATTACAGCTGAGAGTTTAGAGCGTGAAGATTACCAGTATAACCAACACTGAAAAATATTTTTGGAAGGCTTCAATCATGCAATATTCTCAGCCTAAAAGTTGCCTAAAATTAAAAAAAGGATCCAAATACCCCACATCCTTAGCACAACCTCTCCTACAACCTGCACAACCGCTCCCACAACCTGCACAACCGCTCCTACAACCTGCACAGCCTCTCCTACAACCTGCACAACCTCTCCTACAACCTGCACAACCTCTCCTACAACCTGCACAACCTCTCCTACAACCTGCACAACCTCTCCTACAACCTGCACAACCTGCACAACCTCTCCTACAACCTGCACAACCTCTCCTACAACCTGCACAACCTCTCCTACAACCTGCACAACCTCTCCTACAACCTGCACAACCTGCACAACCTCTCCTACAACCTGCACAACCTCTCCTACAACCTGCACAACCTCTCCTACAACCTGCACAGCCTCTCCTACAACCTGCACAACCTCTCCTACAACCTGCACAACCTCTCCTACAACCTGCACAACCTCTCCTACAACCTGCACAACCTCTCCTACAACCTGCACAACTGCTTCTACAACCTGCACAACCTCTCCTACAACCTGCACAACCTCTCCTACAACCTGCACAACCGCTTCTACAACCTGCACAACCTCTCCTACAACCTGCACAACCTCTCCTACAACCTGCACAACCTCTCCTACAACCTGCACAACCTCTCCTACAACCTGCACAACCTCTCCTACAACCTGCACAACCTCTCCTACAACCTGCACAACCTCTCCTACAACCTGCACAACCGCTTCTACAACCTGCACAACCTCTCCTACAACCTGCACAACCTCTCCTACAACCTGCACAACCGCTTCTACAACCTGCACAACCTCTCCTACAACCTGCACAACCTCTCCTACAACCTGCACAACCTCTCCTACAACCTGCACAACCTCTCCTACAACCTGCACAACCGCTCCTACAACCTGCACAGCCTCTCCTACAACCTGCACAGCCTCTCCTACAACCTGCACAACCTCTCCTACAACCTGCACAGCCTCTCCTACAACCTGCACAACCTCTCCTACAACCTGCACAACCTCTCCTACAACCTGCACAACCTCTCCTACAACCTGCACAACCGCTCCTACAACCTGCACAACCACTCCTACAACCTGCACAACCACTCCTACAACCTGCACACCAGCATATTATCTGAACAATATACGAGCCCTGCAAGGATACCAAACCTACCGCTGAATATGCAACACAATGCTCTTTCAATATTAATCGTAATTTCGACACTGAAATTGCTTGTAGTAAAATAGGTTCAGATAATAACCATGACAACTCCCTTTGGAATATAGAATGCCCCCATGCGAGGTAAGGCTCTACCTCTCCTGGAGAGGCTGGCGTAACATACAGTAACCACGAGAGTACTAGCTGATCTGCCAAATAGTTCTCTACTAGAACTGTTTAATTAAATCCTGAGGCGGGGCGTCTTGCCATAGACCTCTGGAGAGACACTCATAATTCTCATACCGAAGCCAAACTGACATCAATTCCGACCCATTTCCGTGACTTTGTGGGTTAATAGTTGATATAAGACACCAACTTGCTCCCAGTCTGTGTGGCTTCTCCCCATGTGAAGCATGAAGAGTGCTTCAGGCATGGACCAGGCTCTGATGGGGCTCGCATTGATCTCCAAACCTTTTTTGACATAACAGAGAATTATTCTCAGAACAACTAGCCTTTTTTGTAATTAAGGATAGCAATTACCTCCAAACACAAAAGTCAATGGGTTATGTGCACTGTCTGCACTGACGGCTAATCCAACTGTCAACAGGACTCACTGCAGCAGACTGCAGAGTTTACTATGCTTACCAGCAGACTGTGTCAGGTTCTACACAAGCAGAACTAGCTGTTCTAGCTACACTGTTCTACTAGCTGTAGCTACTAGAACTAGCTACATAAACTGCTAGCTTCCAGTACACTAAAGAACACGGGGAGTAATTTTTTTGTGATTCAAAATGTGCTCTTCAATGAACTTGAAATCTTCACTTGGAAGCTCTACAATAAGAATTTCATAATAGCAATTATAAATAACATGTTCACTGCACAGGAAAAGGTGCTTAGAACCTCTTTGCATATACCACTTTACACAAATACAACCCATCTTGACACTCATAACACTTCAACCTATTTAGATCTGATACACACACACACACACACACACACACGTGTGTGTGTGTGTGTGTGTGTGTGTGTGTGTGTGTGTGTGTGTGTGTGTGTGTGTGTGTGTGTGTGTGTGTGTGTGTGTGTGTGTGTGTGGGGTGTGTGTGTATACTCACCTATTTGTGCTTGCGGGGGTTGAGTTTTGGCTCTTTGGTCCCGCCTCTCAACTGTCAATCAACTTGTGTACAGGTTCCTGCGCCTATTGGGCTCTATCATATCTACATTTGAAACTGTGTATGGAGTCAGCCTCTAGCCTGTGTGTGTGTGTGTGTGTGTGTGTGTGTGTGTGTGTGTGTGTGTGTGTGTGTTTGTTTTAGTGGTTGACAAATGAAATGCATTAGGCAGTGATGTGGAGGAGGCTGACTCAATACACAGTGTCAAGTGTAGGTATGATAGAGCCCAATAGGCGCAGGAACCTGTACACCAGTTGATTGACAGTTGACAGGCGGGACCAAAGAGCCAGAGCTCAACCCCCGCAAGCACAAATAGGTACTCACCTAGTTGTGTTTGCGGGGGTTGAGCTCTGGCTCTTTGGTCCCGCCTCTCGTAGGTGAGAGGTGAGTACACACAATAAAATGGTAGAAGAGGACGTCGACCAGCATGGCAGCGACTGCCAGGATCAGGCAGGTCTACTGTTACCTGTGACAGTTGGCTGTGACGAACCTCCCCATCCTGAGCACCTCTTGTGTAAATTCCCTTCAATATCTCGCCCAAGCACTTAGGCTGGACGGTAGAGCGACGGTCTCGCTTCATGCAGGTCGGCGTTCAATCCCCGACAGTCCAAGTTTTTTTTTTTCCATTCCTTCCCCCCGTCCCATCCCAAATCCTTATCCTGACCCCTTCCAAGTGCTATATAGTCATAATGGCTTGGCGCTTTCTCCTGATAATTCGCTCCCTCCCTCCCTTCAATATATCAATACCCTTCACACATGCCGGTAGGAGAAACTTGGAGTTTTGCATTTATTTGATCTACTCCCGTGTTCTTGAGGATATCCTCATGATGAATCCAAAGTTTGCTAGTCCAGGCTACTCATCACATGTCCCTGTATGACTAACCATCCTGCTCATCACATGTCCCTGTATGACTAACCATCCTGCTAAATAGGGATTTTACATCACATGTCTAACTCTTCACACAGACTATGTAACCCTTCACATAGTGTGTAGGGTACCTGCAGAAATGCAAGGTTAAAAAAAAAATTCAAATTCTCTCTCATAATATAAATACAAAAATATACAAGAGGCGTTGGTAATGACTGCTTTTATAGCGAACATGAAGACTGGTTGGTCATGCGAGCGGGGAGCGAATTACTGCATGGCCCTGGGCTAGGGGGGTAATTACATAGTTGGATAGTTAAGCCTGCTTCCGTGAGCGTCACTGAGGCCCAGCAGGCGCGCGGGCGCATGTATGTATGCGTGCGCGCCTGTGGAGAGGCAGTATAGGCCCTCCTAAATAATACTGATATTGTAAAACGTAGGTTCGAATCCTCGTCACGACCCTTGTGGATTTGTTCATTTGATGCATCACGCTATTGTGATTTCTGTGTGTACTGATATTGTATATTCCATGTTGTGGTGGTTGGGAGGGGGCATGAGTTGAGGTCGCAAGGATGTTAGCTCAGCCCGCTCTCACGATTTGATAGGCAAAAAAACATTACAAATTTAAAGCTTATGGGGAAGTGTGCAAACCAAGACAACACACAACTAATCGATGGTGTTATTTGTTAATTATTGGTGAAGTTATCTTTTGTGTCGAGTCAAAATATAATTGTCGTGTAACGTTAGTGTTGAGATAGTCAATGTTTACGTAAGAATAGGGAGATCTGGGTGCTCTGGGTGGAAGTTTTGAGTGGTGGGTGGGCGTCAAAGATTAAGCTAGCTTTATTCAAATACAATTTCTTTACTATGCACCCCATACCCATCCCGTGGGCGGTGATGGAAAGGGTTACAGAGTGGTTCAAGGAACTGAACCCCATAGTTCGTTTACCTCAGCAAATGACAATCTTTTGAAGCTAGTTATACAATCATTTACTTAAATACATATACATAATCTTTTTATATCAAGTGATTCAACAAGAGGCTCACAACAGTCACTATACAAGGCACTTTACATCTATGGTGAGTCACACAGTCACTAGTCTTGCTCCACACCCACTCAACTGGGCGGCAGCTTTACAGTCATGTGCAGGCTGCACCTCCAGTCATGTGCAGGCTGCACCTACAGTCATGTGCAGGCTGCACCTACAGTCATGTGCAAGCTGCACCTACAGTCATGTGCAGGCTGCACCTACAGTCATGTGCAGGCTGCACCTACAGTCATGTGCAGGCTGCACCTACAGTCATGTGCAGGCTGCACCTACAGTCATGTGCAGGCTGCACCTACAGTCATGTGCAAGCTGCACCTACAGTCATGTGCAGGCTGCACCTACAGTCATGAGCAAGCTGCACCTACAGTCATGTGCAAGCTGCACCTACAGTCATGTGCAGGCTGCACCTACAGTCATGTGCAGGCTGCACCTACAGTCATGTGCAGGCTGCACCTACAGTCATGTGCAGGCTGCACCTACAGTCATGTGCAGGCTGCACCTACAGTCATGTGCAAGCTGCACCTACAGTCATGTGCAGGCTGCACCTACAGTCATGTGCAGGCTGCACCTACAGTCATGTGCAGGCTGCACCTACAGTCATGTGCAGGCTGCACCTACAGTCATGTGCAAGCTGCACCTACAGTCATGTGCAGGCTGCACCTACAGTCATGTGCAGGCTGCACCTACAGTCATGTGCAAGCTGCACCTACAGTCATGTGCAGGCTGCACCTACAGTAAGCAAATTTTGGATACTTGGCTAAGATTCCTGTCAGTATATCATCACAAATTAAGTACTTACACATTTCTTGGACTCCATTAATGGTGTTATCTCTGAATTCCACGATTTTTTCACATTCTATTATATAATGACGCAAAATATGCAAACAGTTCTGCAGACAGTTGACATTTAGTTAAATCAACATCAGCAGATGTTACAAACTCCCAGAGGTACTCGTAGCCGAGCCTAACCCTTTACGCCATATATTATTGTTACTACCATAATTATTGAGTTTATTTATTTGTTAAATACGAATATAAGAAAGTATGTGGTCTTAAACACTAGCTATTTGTTCCTATTGACAAATGTTTCATACTGTGTCAGGATCCCCCAGAAAAAGACCCCAGAACTCTTGGACCCATAGTTTCCTGGACCCCTTTGGGTCATGGTTTCCTGGACCCCTTTGGGCCATGGTTTCCTGGACCCCTTTGGGTCATGGTTTCCTGGACCCCTTTGGGCCATGGTTTCCTGGACCCCTTTGGGCCATGGTTTCCTGGACCCCTTTGGGCCATGGTTTCCTGGACCCCTTTGGGTCATGGTTTCCTGGACCCCTTTGGGCCATTTATTCCTGAACCCCTTTGGGCCATTTATTCCTGGACCCTTTGGGCCATGGTTTCCTGGACCCCTTTGGGCCATGGTTTCCTGGACCCCTTTGGGCCATGGCTTCCTGGACCCCTTTGGGCCATGGCTTCCTGGACCCCTTTGGGCCATGGCTTCCTGGACCCTTTGGGCCATGGTTTCCTAGAGTTCAACCAGATCGAGAAACAAAATCTTTTACTGCTCTTTGTTGTATTTCAGACATTTAAAGACGTCAGCTACTGAATGTGCATCTTTTGGAATAACAAAAAGTTAGTTTCCGTTCGAATGTGGGTGGGTGGAATTATAGGTCCACACTTGTTGATTAATAAGAGTTTGTTTACACTGGAACACTGCACACATTAGCAACAAATAAGATGACAAACAAAATTTTGGCAAGTATTGTTTTTGAGAACGAGTACAAGATCGCCGATCAAATGCAGTTTAATACAAGCTAGATAGAGATAATATAAACGAGTGGTGCAGCTCGACCAATCTGTGGCAGCAGAATAATGAACTTGAGGATAAAGGAAACTGCAGAATGGCTATTGGCCCCAAACGAGGCAGCTCAAACGGTAACATCA